AAATCAGACTAGGCCTCAGGAAGCGTTGCTTCAACTTTCACCTCATTCACAAGAAATTTCATCTCAGGAACTTTCACCTCACAAACTTTCATCTAAGGAGCAGCAGAAGGCTGAGTTGGGGGAGATTGAAGGACAGCCCCCCTGTTCACATCCCCACTGCTTTGGAGACCAGCCCTAGAGGTGCTGGCCAGATGCTATCCCCTGCTATGGGTATGGGTGAGGAGGCAAGCACAGGGAGCAAGAATGTTTTTGAGACAGCATGGCTAGGGGAACCTAACTGTGGCTTAGGGTAGGAGTCCCTGAGGTTGGGTGCCAAGAAAGACTTCAGAAAACAACAGGAAGGAGGATCTGAGGCCTAGGATAAGATTACCCACAACTCAGGGTTAAAACTTGATAATAATAATAATAATAATCTGATAAAAATAAAACAAATTAAAAGTAAAAACAAATAAGCAAAGGTAAAACAATCTGACCATAGACAGCTATGAAGATCTCAGTTCATATTCAGAAGAAGATAGTGAGGTAAAAAAAAAAGCCACTCCTACTCCAATGAGTAATGTCAAATGGTCACAAACCCAAAAAGAACTCCTGGAAGAACTTAAAAAGGAATTCAAAAATCAAATAAGAGAAATTGAGGAAAAATTAGGGAAAAAATAAAAGCAATCCAAGAAAATTATGAAAAGAAAGTTAAACAATTGGAAAAAGAGATACAAAATCTCAAGGAAGAAAATAACTTCATGAAAACTAGAATTGGGCAAAAGGAATTGAATCATGTTATAAGATACCAAGAAATAATAAAACTAGAAAAAATAGAAGAGAATCTGAAACATCTCTTTAGAAAAGCAACTGATCTGGAAAACAGATCAAGGGAGACTCAATATAAGAGTTTGTAAAGCCTTTCACGATCTTGCCCAAACTATATTTCCAGCCTCTTTGGACATTACTCCCTCTCCCCTAATCTTCAATCTAGTTCATCATCCATCTCCACACCTTTGCACTCTCTGTTCCTCATGCCTGGAGTGCACACCCTCCTCACCTCCACCTCCTCATAAAGCCTCTCTTTCTTCAAGATACAGCTTAAGATACCTCTACACAAAGCCTTTCCTAAGCCCCTCAAATACTAGTGCCCTTCTCCCTCCTCTCTCAAGTTACCCTATATTTAACTACTTTACTTTTATTTGTATTTATTCTCTTTATATTTAGTCCTTAGTATATATTTATGTGTGTTTTAATTGCCTCGGGATGTAAGCTTCTTGGAGTAGGAATTGTTTCATTCATTGCATTTGTAGCCTCAAGGCCTAACCTTGCATATAGCAGGTGATTAATAAATTGGTTGTTGACTAAATCAATATTTATTTAGATTAAATAAATATATTTTTGGTTGATTGATATAATTTTTTTTTATTTTTAGGCAATTGGGGTTAAGTGACTTGCCCAGGGTCACACAGCTAATCAGTGTCAAGTGTTTGGTCTGAGGCTAGATTTGAACTCAGGTCCTCCTGACTTCAGGGCCAGTGCTCTAACCACTTGCACCACCTAGCTGCCCCAATATAGTTTTTAAAGGCTGAAAAGTTTTACCTTAAAAAAGGAGGCAGTTTGGTGGATGAACCCAGGAATTAATTATCCTGGGTACGAAGGGTAAAATTTCACCTATAATAATAATAGCTTACATTTATATAGCACTTACTATGTTCAGGCCCTGAACTAAGTGCTTCACAATTATTATCTCATTTGATCCTCACAGCAACCCTTACCAGGTAGGTGCTATTATTATCCCCACTGTACAGAGAAGGAAAATGAGGCAGACAGATTAAGTGACCTGCCCAAGTTCACACAGCTAGTAAGTGTCTGAGGTTGGATTCGAACTCAGGTTTCGCTGACTTCAGGCCTGGCCTTCTATCTATCTTGAAACCTAACTTCAACACATTCCCTTTTCCCATTAATGGGAACCTCTTTTGGAATCAAGAATGTCTTTAAAAAAAAGGTGCAAAATTCTCTTGACAATTCTTTGTGGATTAATTTTATCCTGAATATTTCCAAATTAAGTCCACCTCAGTGGACTCCAAGTATCTGCAAGCTGAAACACTCCTTCGCTCCCTCATGGCTGATGAAATGAAAATCCAAATGACTCCCTTAAAAGGAGGACTAGAAGACACAGAGAAGAGAGAGCTGCTGGAGAAAACAGCATAAGACAGAATAGGGACACAGTACCCCTCAGCCCCAGAAATGGTGGGAGAGAAGAGTGTCTGCACCATATAGAGTTCCTAGACCACCCCAACTTCCAAGATTAAGAGAAAGCAGACGCCAAGAAACATGGGCAGCTAGGTGGCCACAGTGGGTAGACCTCTGGGCCTGGAGTCAGGAAGACCTGTGTTCTAATTGGGCCCCAGACACTTACTTGTTGTGTGACCCTGGGCAAGTCACTTCACATCTCTTTGCCTCATTTCCTCATCTATAAAATGAGGATAATAATAGCACCTATCTGGCAGGGCTCTTGTGAGGATTGAATGAAGCAATAATTGCAAATTATTGTGCTTAGCACAGTGCCTGGAACATAGTAAAGGCTATTTAATTTTTGTTATTATTATTATTATTATTAGGAAACAGAGCAATGGTGCAGAGCGAACACTCTCACCTCACCATTTAGTGTTACTGTGAATTATATAGAATATGCACATCTGGGATACAAGGAAGGGCCCAACCAGAGGGTCTGTAAACCTAAAGAACTGGGAAGGTGGGAATCGTCACATAAAAGAGTTGCTTGATTCTCTAACAATTCTTAATGTTTCCACCTACCGGTTATGCAAGAGTTGTCCAGTGTTGCCTCAAGTCTAGAATAGGCTGCCTAGATCCCTAGAGAGGAAGGTCTCAGTGGAAAAGGAGAGTTTCCTTGACCAGACTACTTGGCTTTTTGTCCTATATCCTCTGTCTCCTTAGACCAAGTGTTTACATAGGAGCAGAGCGCTTTTTTTCCCCTTCTGTAGTTAAGACCTCATTTTGGCCACAAACCAAATTCTGATGCCCTCAAAATAAATTTGAAGTGGGTCAAAAGGGTGATTTTTGAGAAGTCCTCAGGATTGAATGAGGTGTGTCCAAGTGCTGACCCATGTGAACAAGACCACCATCTACTGGCAAATAGTGAAATTACATGACTTGTTATGGGCTTGAAGTCTTAGAAAATGAATGGATTTATGAATATTAAGTTGTGACTATAAAGATAAATAATACCACTAGGCACTGAATATTCAATGTTACAATAATAAGCCACAGCTTCAATTTTTTTCTGCTCAACATTCACCATTCCTTCATAAGGCATTCATTAAACTCTTGCTATGTGCAATTTACTATCCTTAACTGTGAGAAACGTGAAGATGATAATAACTGACACTTGCATAGTGCTTTAAGATTTTCTTTTTATTGGAGGCAATCAGGGTTAAGTGACTTGCCCAGGGTCACACAGCTAGTAAATTTCTGAAGCTGGATTTGAACTGACTCCAGGGCTGATACTCCATCCACTGTGCCACCCAGCTGCCCCTGTTTTAAGCTTTCAAAGTAATCTTTGCCCTCCAGGAATTTACAATCCATTTGCATGCAGACTGCTGCAGTAGTTAAAGAATGATATCTGATCAGAAGCTGTGAGCATTAACAGCTTGCCCCCTGGTTAACTCGGGGGTCAGGACAGTGGAAAAGTACAACCTTGTCTGTCTTTGCCTATATACCTTATAGGCACTTAGGATGACTTAACCTGAAAAACTCCATATTGGAATCCTATCATTATAACTATGACATCAAATAGTATAAAAATTGCAATGATCACAGAGGCCAATGAGGAAGCCTTTGCAATGGACCAGGAAAGAAGTGATGAGAGCCTGAACTAAGGTGGTAGCTATGTGAATAGAGAGAAGATATATTTGAGACATGTTGTAGAGAAACAAATGATTGAAATGTGGCAACTAGTAAACACATAGTGAGAGTAAAGAGTTAAAGATTACACCAAGGATGTCACTGAATATAATAAAGAATAAAGAACCAGCAAAGGAGACTGACAAGGAGTGGTCAGACAAGCAGAAGCAAAAACCAGAGAAGAAAGAATTATCTGATAGGAGAAAGTGATGAAGGTTCAGGTGCTGCAGAAAGGCCAAGAAGGATGAAAACTGAAAAAAGGTCATTAGATAAGGCAATTGTTAACTTCAGTGAGAACAGTTTCAGCTGAATGAGGAGGTTGAAAAGCAGACTACAGAAGGTTTAGGAGAGAGTGAGAGAAGTGGAAGTAGAGGCACTGAGTACAGATTTTTCAGGGAGTTTATCTGGGAAAAGAAATATAGAATGATACCTAGCAGGGATGGTCGGATCAAGTGAGAGTTTTTTAAGGATGAGGGAGATATGGGGGTGTTTGTAGGCAGCAGGAAACGAGACAGTATATAGCGAAAGATGGAAGATTAGAGAGTGGGAATGATAGTGGGACAATCTGCTGGAGATGACTTGGGGGATGGGGTCAAGTTCATGTATGTAGAGCTGTTGACCTTGTCAAGGAAAAGGGCCACTTCTTTGTGAGACGCTGGAGTGGAGAAGATGGGGGAGGGCTCAGAGAGACGCTACACTAGGAGAAGGGAAGAAAAGAGAGTTCTCATCTAATGGCCTCATGGTGGGGGGGAGTAAAAAGCATGAGTTAAGTTCCCCAGCAAAGAGCATGGGGGAGTAGAGGTAGCATGAGTAGGCTTGAGAGACAAGTTTAGAAAAGGTATTGTGGTGAGTGGGTTAGAGAATTGATTATGGCAAGAACTGTGTTTCTCAGTTGTCAGACTATATATGTACATGTTCTATATATATATATATACACACACACATACATATACATATATATGTATGTATGTGTGTATATGTATTTCATATGTAGATTCCTTTTGTGCTAAAGCATACACCCTCTTTCAAAGTGGCCTGTCACCCTCCACACCCTCTTTCTCCCCCAGCCCCTTGACCTTTCTGTATCCAACTCTCACCTCTGTGACAAACATAATAAAGCCAGAATCCGTCACATTCCGAGCTATCAGCTGCCCAAATGAGAACTTCTCCACTTTGCAATTACTTGCCGCTTTTAAGAGGGTCTCATAAGACCATGTCTTAAAGAGATAATGTTCCCTGAGGAGAAAGGATATTAAAGGCCATTTATTTTTCTGAGCCAAGGATTTGGGGGACATCCTGTCTCCCCAATTCCCCCACCTCTACCCCCTTCCTTGCCAGAGACACAACTAAGGTAGATCAATAAGGGCTTTTCCCATGGTATTAATATCTAAAAAGCATCATTGTCCTTCCCATGGCCTTGCTCCCAACCATCTATCACCATCCCACCCCCCCCACCCCCCAAACCTTTCCCACCTTAGCTGGACATTCAGCAGCATAAAAACTTCCCGGCATCTCAAACATGCTTCCTCCTGTACCCTAGCTAGGCTTCCCACCCCATCTTCAAACCCACTTGTACCCCCCTCCATTTGCCCCAAGTGAAAAAAAATCCTAGTCATGGTTCTGTACCCTTGATCTGATCTAGTGTTTAATCAACCTCTGTTTCAAATGTGTTTCCTGTAAACAACATATTGTAGGATTATGGTATTTAACCCATTCTGCTATCTGCTTCCATTTTTTGAGAGGGTTCATCCCATTCACATTCACAGTTATGATTACTATCTGTGTCTTTCTCTCCATCCCTTCCCCCCCTTTATGCTTTTCTTTCTTTCTCCTTTCTCCTTTTTTCTCCTCACTAGTGTTTTGCTTTTGACCACCACCTCCCTCAGTCCTGCCTCCCTTCTATTAGCCTACCCTCCCCTTTCTTCCCCTTTACCCTTACTACTTCTTCCCTCCCTTTTATCCCCCCTTCCTTTTCTTTCCCCCTTTTCCCTCCTACTGCCTATAGGGCAAGTTAGAGTTCTATACCTAACTGATTATGTTATTCCCTTCTTGAGCCAAATCTGATGAAGGTAAGGTTCAAACAATGCTCATCTCCCTCCCTTCTTTCCCTCTGCTGTAATAGGTTTTTGTGCCTTTTCCTGTAATGTAATTTACCCTTGTCTGCCTCCTCCTTTCCTTTTCTCTCAGTACATTTCCTTAGTTAGATCAGATTAATCCACTTCCTTGAATCCATTTAACCCACTGGATTAGATTTTTTTTTATCATTACATCAAAGTCAACTTATACCCACCCCCTTTAAGTATATCCCTTTAACGTGGTGTAATAACAATACAGTTCTCAAGAGTTACAAGTGTCATCTTCCTTTGTAGGGACATAAACAGTTTGCCCTTATTAATAACATGTTGTTTTTTCTGTCCCATTTACCTTTTTATGTCTCTCTTGAGTACTGTATTTGAAGGTCAAATTTTCTGTTGAGCTCTGGTCTTTTAATCAGGAAGGTTTGGAGGTCCGTTATTTCATTCAATGTCTGTCTCCTCACCTGAAAGATTATACTCATTTTCACTGGGTAGTTGATCCTTGAATTGTAATCCAAGCTCCTTTGATTTACATATCGTATTCCATACCCTACAATCTTTTAATGTAGAAGCTGCAAGGTCCTGTGTAATCCTGGCTGTGGTTCCATGATATTTAAATTGTTTCTTTCTGGCTGCTTGCAGTATTTTCTCTTTGACCTGGTAATTTTGGAATTTGGCTACTGTATTCCTTGGCATTTTCAATTTGGGATCTCTTTCAGGAGGTGATCAGTGGATTCTTTCTATGGCTATTTTACCCTCTGGTTCTAGGAGCTCAGGGCAGTTTTCCTTGATGATTTCCTAAAAGATGCTGTCCAGACTCTTTTGTTTGTGATTTTCAGGTAGACCAATAATTTTTAAATTGTCCCTCCCGTGTTGATTTTCCAGGTTAGTTGTTTTACCAGTGAGCTATTTTACATTTTCATCTATTTTTTCCATTCTTTTGTTTTTGTTTGACTGATTCTCTGTCTCTCATGAAGTCATTAGCTTCCACTTGCCCAATTCTAATTTTTAACAAATTTTTTTCTTCTATGAGATTTTGTACCTCCTTCTTCATTTGGCCAATTATGCTTTTTAAGGAGTTGTTTTCTTCAGTGTACTTTTTTTTTTCAGTTGGTCAATTGTATTTTTTAAGGATTTGTTTTCTACAGTTAATTTTTGTCCTTCCTTTTCCAAGTTATTGACTCTCTCTTGCATACCTCTCATTATCTTTCCTATTTTATCTTCTACCTCTCTCATTTGACTTTTAAAATCCTTCTTGAGTTCTTCTAAGAAGTATTTTTTGGGCTTCAGACCAGTTCATATTCCCTTTTGAGGTTCCAGATGTGGGTTTGTTGACAGTGTTGTCCTCTTCAGAATTTCTGCCTCAGTCTTCACTATTCCCATAATAAGAATCTATTGTACATTTCTTTTTGCTCATGGTGTTTGCTTATTTCCTGGCCTTTAAAAAGATTGAGCTTTCCTGCTGGGGAGCAGGGGGCACTGACCCAAGCTTCTTGTGTTGGGAGCCTAGGGCCTGGTCACTGGTTTTGTGTGCTGGGGCCTCCAATGTTGGCAGTTGGAGGCTGTAGGGTTCTGGCAGCTGGAATCAGCAACACTGGAACTCTAGGGGTAGGATTGGGTAGTGTGGCTCCTGGAGATTTCCTGCTCACCTGGGCCTTTCCTTCCTTTCCCCTCCTTCAGCTCCTTTCAGATGGATGTTGCAGGGTGTTTATCTGCCTGGGGCCCCTTGGAGCACTGCTTCCCTTAGTTTTTCTGTGGCACTGGGAGACTGGGAGACTGGAAGACTGGGTTGTTCTTATTCTACCATCTTGGCTCCAGGAAGTAGAAAATCCTAATCACCCTCTCTAATGTTAGGAAGCTATTTCACCCCCTTCCCTGAAACCCATAGCTCCAGCTAGCATGACGTCCTCACTGTCCCCCAACCAAAATAGCCCTGGCATGATTGTACCTCCATTTTTCTTACCTGGATGCTCCCTTTCTTCCATAGAGGTTTCCTTGGCCTCTCCAACTCCCTATATCCTAGAGTACTTCTTATTTGTAACATGTGGTCATACTTGAACCTATACTGTCTGATAATATTTGACTGTCTTGCCTCTTCTACTAGAGATCTTGCCAACCTTGCCTCGAGGGCAGGATCCATGTTGTAAGAGGATCAGAGATTTAGAGCTAGAAGGGATTTCTTGAGAACTTATGAGTTCATACTCTAGGATCCACAAATTAGGTTTTTAAAAAATCTTTTAATAGCTATATTGAAATGTAATTGCTTTCTGGCATCCTGAGATGTGCTTCCTCCAGCCCTCTAGCTAAGTTCCCCCTCCCACTTGCAGCTCTGCCCTTCTCCCCTGAGATGAGGAAATTGAAGGTGACTGCCCAAGTCACACAGCATTCCCCTCCCTGCTCCCCTTTCTTCCTCACAGAGTCTAACCTTGGGCTTCCATAAAGCCAGTATTCCATAACTACTTGATGAGCCAATGCTTGATTTACCTGAAGAAATTAAACCGAGTTTGAAATTCCTTCTTCATCTCCTCATCCACCATATTACCAAATAAATCCTCCTTGTCCACAACCAGTAATTCAGTGTCTTCCATACAGACCACAGTGGCGATCCTCTCAGCTCCAGTCAACAAAGCCATCTCCTATAGGTGGGAAATAAAAGAAGGAGATCTCTCTTCCTGCCTCCCACCTCTTGGCACTCCCATTCATTCTTCACAACATTGTTAGATTAATCAGTCAATCAACAGGTATTCATTTGGCACATTTTATGTGCCAGGCACTGTGCTAAGCCCTGGGGATACAAAGGGAAGCAAAAGCAAAAACAAAAATAGTTCTTGCCCTCAAGGACCTTATGTTCCAATGTGTGAGATGACCTAGTTAAGTCAGATGAATAAAGAAAATATATAAATAAGATGAATTAATAAATAAATAAGATGAATACAGAGAAGATGGAAGATAGCCACAGACGCTATGACACTAGCAGCTAACGGGGGTGGAGGGAGGAACCACCAAAGATCTCCTGGAAGATGGGGTGCTTAAACTGAGTTTGAGGAAACCAGGGATTCTAAAAGTAAAAGGTCAGAAAGGAGAGCACTCCTGGCACGGAACATAGCCAGTATGGAGACAGGGGGACAGGAAATGTCATGTCATATAAGAGGAAGAGCAAGGAGGCCTCATAGTGTTGTAGATGGCAGTAAAATGTACAAAGTCTGGAAAGGAAGGAAAAGAACAGGTTGTGAAATGCTATAAATAAAAAAAAGGAATTTACATTTGACCCTGGAGGTAATAGGGAGCCACTGAAATTTCTAGAGCAAGAGAGTGATGGTGGTTACTTACCATTTAGGAAAGTCACTTTGGCAGTGGATGGAGAATGGCTTGAGGTCAGCAGGACAATTAAGAGACTATTGTAACAGTCCAGGCAAGAAGTGATGGGGGTCTGGATTGGGATGGTGTGCTGGGAGTAGAGAATCCAATGTTTTTAAGAGATGTTACAGAGAAAAAAATGACAATATTTGGGAATGATATATGGGGGTGAGAGAGAAAGACTGAAAGAGATATACAGAAAAGAGAGGAGAGAGAGAGGCAAAGAAAGGAAAAAGGGAGAGAGACCCAGAGGTGGCATTTGGGATACAAAGAGTAGTTCCAGTTTGGGTGGTTAAGCAAACCCTTGGAAGAGTAGGGAGTAATGTAAGATTGGAAAATCAGGTGGTACCAGACTACAGAGGTCCTTGAGTATGCAGTGGGAGATTATTAACTTTGCACTGTGAGTAAAAGAAAATTTTTGAGCAGGGAAGTGACATGGTCAGGTCCATGATGGCTCACATTTCTCTAGGGCCTTAAGTGGAATGGAGTCCCTGCCTATCCTAGGGAAGAGAGTGTGACAATTAAGATTCTCTTTCTACAGATGCGAAAACTATTGCTCAAGGGACAGCTAAGTGGTGCAGTGGATAGAGCACCGGTCCTGAAGTTGGGAGGACCTCAGTTCAAATCTGGCCTCAGACTGAACATTTGACACTTACTTAGCTGTGTGACTCTGGGCAAGTCACTCAACCCCAATTGCCTAAACAAAACAAAATAAAAACTATTGCTCAGAGAAATAAAGTGGCTTCTCTGGGGTCACAGAACAAGTAAATGGCAGAATTTGAATTTAGGCCATTTGGATCTAGATCCATTTTCTCCCATAGCACTCAAACTCCTATATGTAAAGCAAATTAATGACGACAGGATGCATTGGTTGGAATAGACAATCTCCAAATTTCCTTCTAGGTATTTTAGTGATTAGAATCACACAACATGTGACTCTAATTCAGCCTTCGTTGTAAAGAGAAACTGAGATTCTAAAAGCCCGAATTCCTGTAAACATCCTGCAGGCAAATCTGGACCACAACCTTTATGTGCTGGCCCAAGACTCCTGCTCTAGGACTTTTTCTGTCACAATCCTGCTTTGCTTCCCTCTAGCTGGGCCTATTCCCTGAGAATATCACCCTTTTGGGGAACTGGGAATGCCATTCTCACAAACCCCGCCAAACAGCTGGGCTTAAGGGGAGAGACTGAAGGATACCAACTCACCCCAAAAGATGAGCCCTTGTAGAGCAAGTCCGGGTGTGCATCTAGGAAGGCACTGCTCCCATCTTCATCTGCAGTCATAGCAACCGTCCCCAAGTAGATGAAGTAGAAACTGTTGCCCTTATGCCCCTTCTTAAAGATCACACGCCTGCGGCCAAACCTAAGAAGAAGTACACAGACTATCACGTGGGGAGCAGTGGAGAATGGAACCTGATGGTGAGACCTGGACTTGGAAGATCTTCTCTTGGAAAGAATCAAGTAAAATATTCACATTCTTCTTCCCTCTCTCTAGTATCATTTTCCTAGGTGGTGACACTCCAGCCCTGGACAGCTCCTGGTGCTACTTTTGCTTGGTCTGGGGGGGCCCTGGAGCTTGCTACTTAGTGAATTTTTAGCCTAGGTTTAAAGCTGCCACTTCTAAATTGGTTCATGAGGCTTGGTGCAAGGTAAGTGTTTGCTTCTGAGTATAATGCCTTGAACAATAAGGAGCACTGTGATACCATGGGAAGAAATCTAGATTTGGAGACTGAAGACCTAGGTTCAAGTCTTGCCTCTGACACTAATGTGTGTGACCTTGAACAAGTCACTTAACTGGGCCTCAGTTTCCTCACCTGCAAAATAAAGGAGTTGGACAAAATGACTTCTAAGATTCTTTCCAGTTCTAAATCCACGTACTTAACCTAGATAGAAACAGTGATTTCACTGGTATAGATTACCCCCAGCAGAGGAAAATACCTCTCCCAACACAGATCAGCAGCACCTTCTCTGCAGTTTACAATCTTAGAGAGTTGTCTAGATTAGTGGTGTTAAACTCAAACAGAAACTATATATAAGGATCCGCCAAGCATATTTTGACTTAGAAAACCAGTTATTAACATTATCTATGTCCTATTGTATTTTTGTTAAAAATGTTTCCCAATTACATTTTAATCTGGTTTGGGCTACACTTGGGTATGTAGCCTCTGGCCAGACGTTTGACACCTCTAGAGCACAGAAAAATCAAGTGACTTTGCCTAAGGTCACACAGCCAGGCTGTGTCAGAGACAGGATTTAAACCTGGACCTTTCTTGCTCCAACACCAGCTCTCTAGCCGCTTGGCCGTGGTTCCTGTCAAAGATCTGTCTAACATAGTCAGCATTTAATGTCTTTTTAAATGAATCGAATGAAATTTTCCATGACTCAGAGGCCTAATTCAAATGTTATCTTCTCTCTGTCATCTTCCCTGAGCACTCAAGGCTGGAAATGAGCCCTCTTTATTCTGTATTACTGAAACACTCCCTGCCTTTACCACTCAACAAGCTTGTTCACAGTCAACCTTGTAATGTAGTGATTAGTAGATGTCTCACTCCCCCTACTTGACTGTGAATTCTTGCAAGGTAAAAAAAAAAATTGTCTTATGAGCATAGGATGATAGCATTATAGCCAGAAAGCTTGTCAGAGGCTATCCAGTTGAATTCCCTTGTTTTACAGAAAGGAAACAGAGACCTAGAGGAGAACCTAAGGTCACACAGGCAGAGCCAGGAGCAGAAACTGGGTCCTCTTTATCCATTTCTGACTCCCCAAAGGTGTTCTGTATATGGCCTTGCACTTGCTAAACATGGAATAAACCATTTGTTGAATGAATTAAGAGATTAAGGTTAGATCTATTAATAATAATAATATTAACAATAACACATTTTCATAACACTTTAGGGCAGCTAGGTTATACAGTGGATAGGGCACCGAGTCTGGAGTCAGGAAGACTTGAGTTCAAATCTGGCCTCAGACACTTAGCAGCTATGTAACCCTGAGCAAGTCACTTACCCTATTTGACTCAGTTTCCTCATCTGTAAAATAAGCCACAGAAGGAAATGGTAAACCACTCCAGCATCTTTGCCAAGAAAACCCCAAATGGGATCATGAAGAGTTGGACATGACTAAAATGACTGAACAACAATAACACTTCAAAATCTGAAAAGCATTTTCTTCATAACAACCCTTAGAAATGGGTAGTACTAATATTACACCCATTTATAGGTGATGAAATTAAGATTTAGGGAGGTGAGGTCACTTGGCTAAAAAGTTCCAATCTATAAGACCCTGGAACAACTAACCAATTAAGTCTGGCATCTCATTCTCTTAATCTTATGAAATAAATGATCCCAGGGACCTCTGAATAAAACCATCATCTGGGTCCCCCAGTCCAAATTCCTGCCTGATGAATTCCCTCTACAACTGCTGCAAAACTTTCAAGGGCAACATGAACCAGATCAAAATGTTGATGGGAAATATTTAACAAAATAAAAATATAGTACAATGTAATGTTCCCTGGTGGTTTTGTAGGTCAATATGCAGGGATCCATTTCTATTTGAGTTTGACACCAGCATTCTACTATGCTGAGAAACAGGGGAAAGAAACCTGATTTTGGCAGCACAGGACCTGGGTTCAAATTCATCCTCTGACCTTTTCTACCTGTATAACCTTGAGTGAGTCACTTAACCTCCTTGGGTCTCAGTTTTCTCTTCTGTGAAATGAGGAATTTGGAATTCATAGACAGCCTCGGTTCCTCTTAGATTTATGAACCAATGATGAAATGGTTTAGTCCTTTCTTGTGAATATTACCCTTTCTGAAGCAGCCCTTCGCATTTGCAGCTCTGACTTTAAGGAAAATTTTTCTTTCAGAGCCATGATAGATCTAGGCAAATGGGGCTTTGTCCCAGGGCCCTGACATAGCAGGAGAAGGGCACACTTCCTCCCACAGCCTGAATCACCACACCTTTTAGTTCTCTGCTGACCCAAACTGTCATACATCATCACTGCCCCTGGACCACACACAGAGGGTCCCACCATTAGAGTACGTGCCACCACCACCCCAACTCCTCTGAGGGATGAAGGGGTGCGTCAACCATTTTCCCTGTGGCTGAACTGTCCTCTGAATGTCATTGTCCTCCCTCCCAGCTGTTCTCCCTGCTCCCAGCTGGTTTTGCCCCCACTGGAAATATTCTTCACGATAGTTCTGTCTCCCTTTCTTGGCAGGCCCGTCTCTCCCTAGAAGCAGAAGATGGCTGGACCTGTAGTTGGCACTGACCGTTCGTAGCGGATGACTTTGGCCAGCAGCAGCTGGATCTGCGGGCTGTAATTCCAGAAGCTTTCCAACACCTGCAGAAACTTGCAGAGGTTGCGGACCTCTTTTTTGTCTCTCCACTCTGGCCTCTTCTGAGTAATTTGAATAGCTCTTTGAGGGAAGTGTCCCTGGAAAGAAAAGACCCAAGTGGTGGCGTGACCCAAAGCCAGGTCTGAGAGACACTTTCCCTTCCCTGACTTTATTTCCCTTCCCATCCATTAATACTGCCTATTTCATGTATCCTGGCCTCTTCCAGCAGGTAGAGATGGGGTATCCCTCCACCAGCTCCTCATACATATTCCTAATGCTGTGTTTTTGCTCACACTACTCTCCCTTAATGCCTGTAACACCCTCCCCTCTGCCCCTAACTAAATCCTATCCACCCCATCAGGACCCAGCTCAAACACTCATGTCTTCTGCCACTAATTTGCTGTGAGACTGTGTCCCCATCTTTATAGATAATCTCTAATAATTCATGACTTGAAGACCCTTCCCCATCATGGGGTTTCAGTTACCTCCTTAATTTGATGAACACTATTGACTCTAAAGTACTATTTGGTTTTTATACTATGTATTCTGAGTTCTAGAGTCCACTTCAGTGCAATAGTCTATAGTCTTTGTTCTAGAATGCCTCCCATCTTATATTCTAGGTCTATCATGAGCACTCCAGTCCACTCTGAGCTCTCTCCTTTGGGTTCCTCCTGTAGCACTTATACTGTATGGACACTCATCCGCTATCTCACAGTGTCAGTCTTAGCTCCCTATTAGACTTCAACTTCAGGGTTCTTATCTTTTACCTTTTACCAGGGTTATTACACCTTAATAAAAGGATTTGTTCTGTGAAGTTTGGATTCAGTTAAAGGACCATACTTGAGGACCTTAGAGGGCCACATGTGGCCTCAAGGCCACAGGTTCCCCACCCCGACCTGACTTGGGGCTCATGAGGGGGAAGAGACATCATTGTCATCATCTACAACCTATCACGTATCCTCCCCACACACACACCCAGCACAAAGTTAGTAATCAACAACTGTCAGGGCTTATAATGGAGGGTGGGGAGCAAGAACAGAAGTGATTTTCCTCTTCCCTTTTTTCTCCTCAGAGAGCAGCTTATTGTTCTGGGAAGATAAGGAGAGCAGTTGGGAAAGAGAACTGACATAGAAATTAAAGAGCTCCTTTCTCCTTCCCCAACCTCACTGAAGTGACAGTAGAAGCTGGGTCATGAAGAGAAGGTGAAACCTAGAATTATAGAACATCGGAGGTGAAAGGGCCCATTGTTGCCTGCAACCAGATAGTACACCGAACGGAAAGGCGTGAAATAAGACATGAAGAAGTGGGCCAGGCGGAGCAGAAAAACTGACTCAGTTTATTTTTCTGAGGGTACAGGATATATAGAGAAAATCCATCCTAACTTCAAAGAGTCCTCCCTGTGAGACACTCCCGAAACATCTGCTAAGGATATGATAACATACATTTCCTCCTTATCAGAGTTCCTAGATAGAGTTGTAAATTCCAAGGCTTTTTCCTGGCGCCTGTATAGAGGAGTGAATATGTAAATCTAAGGTTCAAAGAGTGAGAAGGAATGTCTCAGGAACCTCCTAACAGGGAGAGATTGGAGAGCCATGCTTCTTAATTATTGAGCCCTTTGGGTAAAAGCCTGGGCAAAGGTCAAACTCTGTCCTGGATCTTAAACCCATATCAGACTCTTAAGATCAGCCCTCAACAGCCCATCATACAGATGAGGAAATTGAGAGAGAGGAAGGGCCTTCACAGCAAGTCAGTGACATAGCTAGTACTGAAACCCAGAGAGTTTCTAACTTACATTTCAGGCTACCCAGTAGCCCACCATGAAGATAAGAAATTGGTTTCTGGCTGTGAGAGGCCAGTGCCATCCATACCTGCTCGAAGAAGAAGTCGCTATAGTTGAAGGTCAGTTTGGTCTGCTTCCTTTTCTGGAAAAGAGGAGGGAAGGGAAGATAAGTTCCTGTTCTCAGCACAGGATCCAGTCTGTTGGTTATTGTTGGTTAACAGAAGAGCCCAGGGCTCTTCATTAGGCCCAACTCACTTTGGCCTAACCTCTACAGCTTACCATCATTCATTGGCACAGACATTGGTGAAGTGCTGCTATGGCAACAGAGGAAGAAAAAATAAAGGGAAAAAAGAAAAAAGAGAGAAAGAGGAAAAAACAGAACAGAGAGGAAAGAAGAAAGTGAAGGGAACGAGAGAGGAGGAAACAGACAACAGAACAGCAAGGAGAAATAACAGAATAGAGAGGGAAGGGGGAAATAAAGATAAACCGAGGCAAAGAGCAGAGACAAGAACACACAACAGGAAGAAGGAAACTATAGAAAAGAGGGATGAAAGAACAGAGAGGAGAAAATAAGAATGAGAGAAAAAGACGATAGGAAAGAATGGAGGAAAACAGTCAATAAACATTTATTACGTGTTAACACTAAGTGCCAGACACTGTGTTAAACTCTGAGGATACAAAAAGAGGCGAAAGATATTCCCTGCCCTCAGGGAGCTTACAATATAAAAGGCAGACAACAAACAAACAAATATGTACAAAAACAAGAGAGATACACACATGCACACATATATACATACACATATAGGTATGTATATATACACATATGCATGCATATATATATGATAAATAAGAAATAATCAACAGAAGGAAAGCACTAGAATTAAGAGGGATTGAAAAAGACTTTCTGTAGATGGTGTGATTTTGGCTGGGACTACAAGGAAGCCAGGAAAACCAGGAAGCAGAGATGAGGAGGAAGAGCATTCCAGGTCGAGAAAATGCCCAGAGCCGAGATGGAGCATAGTGCTGGAGGACCAGCAACAAGATTGGCATCAGTGGAGTGATGAGCACGTGCGTGGAGTGTTAGGGGGAGTATAATGCATAAAAAGAGCAAAAAGGTAGGAGGGAGCTAAATTATGAAGGGCTTTGACTACCAAACAGAGGATTTTGTATTTAATCCTGGCAGTGATAAGGAATCACTGGAATTTATTAAGTTAGTGGGATGACATGGTCAGACCTATACCTTAGGAAAATCACTTTAGTGGCTGAAAGCAGGGTGGATTGGAGTGGGGAGAAACGAGGCAGGCTGACCAACTAGCAGGACATGAGGAGATGGGAGCCTGCCCCAGGTGGTGGCAGTGTCAGAGAAAAGAAGGTATCGGTGACATGTTTCAAAGGCAAAATCGACAGGCCTTAGCAACAGACTAGATACAGGGGGTGAGAGATAAGGAGGGGTCAAGAAAGACAACTATGTGAGCCTGAGAAACTTGGAAGATGGTGTTGCCCTCAACAGTAAGAGGAAAGTTTGGATGGGAGGAAAATTTGGGAGGAAAATAATGAATTTAATTTTGGACATGTTGAGCTTAATATGTCTGTTACAGGACATCCAGTTCAAGATGGCTAATAGGCAGTTAGAAAACAGATCAAATGGAAAGAACAGAATAGATAACAGAGAGTGGGAGGAAGAGCAGAGAGAGATTAAAAAAAAGGAGAGGGCATCTATCAAAATCTGGTGGCATCTTAAGAGATTTAGAGTCTAGAACCTTACAGATGAGGAATAAAACAAAGAAAGAGAGAGAAGAAAGGAAAATAAGGGAAAAGAAGAAAAGGGTAGTTCCAGGTGAGATTGGGATGATAAATGACAGGACAGACAGGACAGGCCTATCCTTCTGTGAGTTCTTCAAGATTCTGTCTCTCTGTCTCTGTCTCTTTTCCTGTCTCTCTCTGTTTCTCTCTCTCTCTGTCTTTCTGTCTGTCTGTCTGCTTCCCTCTCTTTTTCTTCCTCTCCCTCTCTTTCCCTCTCTTTCTCTTCCCACCCCATCTCTCTCTGTCTCTCCTGGCACTCCTCCCCCCTCTATCTCTGTCTCTCTGTCTCTGTCTCTCTCTGTCTCTCCCTCCCCCTCTCTGTCTCTGTGTCTCTGTGTGTGTCTCTGTCCCTCTGCTTCTATATCTCTCTGTTTCTGTCTCTGTTTCTGTCAATCTCTCTCTCTCTCTCTCTCTCTCTCTCTCTCTCTCTCTCTCTCTCTCTCTCTCCTCTCTCTTGTCTCTCACTCCACAGCTAGGTTGGTAACTTCCTTGGGTTTGCACTTAGTATCCCCAGTGTGAAAGAAAGATGCTCTCCAGCTTCAGATGAAAGAGACCTGAGTCTCAAATATGTACATAATGAAACTAGGAAGGAAGGGGAAGACCTTCGGTGACTCAAGCCCACACCAGATCATGTCAACTACCATCAGAGGCAATCTCTTACAAAGGTAGGGTTTTCCCCAACAAATAAAATACATAAATTCTCTATTATGGAACTTCCCTACTCTGTATAGATAATTTGTAGTAGACTAGAAAAAGCACTAGCTCTAGAGTCAATCCCATCTCTGATGCTTTCTTCTGTGTCACCATGTTGGAAATCACTTTACTTCCTTAGGCCTCAGTTTCCCCATCTGTAAAATGAAGGGGTTGGATTGGATGGACTTTCAGGTTCTTTCTAGCTCTAGATCTATGATGACCTTAGGGTGCCTCTAGGTAGAGTGACCAGGAGCCCTATGGTTGTGAGAAGAGCACTGAGAAGAATGAAATTTTAAGTTCATGAACTTTAAGAGGCAAGAAGTAAAAGTACTGTGGACTGGCAACATTTTTCTCTGATCTAAAGACTTGCATTTAGGAAACACCATTTCAATGAGTTGGTGCTCCAGAGGCACTGGGGCCACCCTGCCAGATTGACTGGAGATTGAGTCTTGACCCTGCTGGGCAGCTAGATGGCACCATAGTGGATGGAGCATTGTGCCTGGAGTCAGGAAGACTAATATCCCTGAGTTCAAATCTGGCCTCAGACACTTACTAGCTCTGTGACTCTGTGCAAATCACTTAACCCTGTTGGCCTCAGTTTCCTCATCTGTAAAATGAGCTGCAGAAGAAAATAGAAAACCACTCCAGTATCTCTGCCAAGAAAACCCCAAATAGAGTCAAAAAGAGTCAGACAGGACTGAAACAACTAAACAACCACTACATCAATGACCTAACCCTGCCCCTTAACAGCTGCATAACAATGGCCAAGTTATTTTACCTCTCTGAGGCAATTTTTAAGAAAAGCACTTTGTGGAGTTCTGCTTCCAGGAGCCAAGATGGTGGAATAAGAAGTAAGTTGCTCTCACTGTCCCTTATTAACCTCTGAAAGCCCAGAAAATATCGATCCAGGAAAAACCTTGGAACAGCTGAACCAGAAGAAAGATGGGGTGCAGCAGTCCAGTAGCCCAGGTAACTTGAGGGATTAACAGGAAAGGCCCCTCTTGCCCTAGGGGAAAGGGAGCAGTACAGAACAGGGGATGTCCCAGAAAGCTAGCAGAAAGCCCCACCTCAGCATACTAGGGGGAGATCCTGAACCCCAAATGGTGGAGCAGGCAAACACCAACACCAGGACCCCCAAGTGCCTCAGAAGAGGGGAACCAGTGGAAACTGGCTGAAAAAACCACCACATGCCTCAGTGTTCTATGGGGACCAGGTCTCCCAGTGCCTCAGCAAAACTCTGAAAAGCACTCCAAGGGTTCCCCCCAGCCAGATAAACATCCTGCAATATCCATCTGAAAGGACCTGAAGAAAGGGAAAGGAAGGAAAGGCCTTGGTGAGCAGGCAACCTCCAGGGGCCAAACTACCCAATCCTACCCCTAGAGTTCCAGTGTTGCTGATTCCAGCCCAACACCAGGTAAGCTGACAGAACCCTACAGCCTCCAACTGCCAGCACTGGAGGCCCCAGCACACAAAGCCAATGACCAGGCCCTAGGCTCCCAACACAAGAAGCTTGGGTCAGTGCCCCCTGCTCCCCAGCAGGAAAGCTCAATCTTTTTAAAGGCCAGGAAATAAGCAAACACCATGAGCAAAAAGAAATGTACAATAGATTCTTATTATGGGAATAGTGAAGACTGAGGCAGAAATTCTGAAGAGGACAACACTGTCAACAAACTCACATCTGGAACCTCAAAAGGGAATGTGAACTGGTCTGAAGCCCAAAAAGACTTCTTAGAAGAGCTCAAGGATTTTAAAAGTCAAATGAGAGAGGCAGAAGAAAAAATGGGAAAAGAAATGAGAGGTATGCAAGAGAGAGTCAATAGGAAAGGAAACAAGGAAGGACAAAAATTAACTGTAGAAAACAAATCCTTAAAAAATACAATTGACCAACTGGAAAAAAAAGTACACTGAAGAAAACAAGTCCTAAAAAATAATTGGCCAAATGAAGAAGGAGGTACAAAATCATAGAAGAAAAAATTTGTTAAAAATTAGAATTGGGCAATGGAAGCTAATGACTCATGAGAGACAAGAATCAGTCAAACAAAAACAAAAGAATGGAAAAAATAGATGAAAATGTAAAATAGCTCACTGGTAAAACAACTAACCTGGAAAATCAACACGGGAGAGACAATTTAAAAATTATTGGTCTACCTGAAAATCACGATAAACAAAAGAGCCTGGACAGCATCTTTCAGGAAATCATCAAGGAAAACTGCCCTGAGCTCCTAGAACCAGAGGGTAAAATAGCCATAGAAAGAATCCACTGATCACCTCCTGAAAGAGATCCCAAATTGAAAATGCCAAGGAATACAGTAGCCAAATTCCAAAATTACCAGGTCAAAGAGAAAATACTGCAAGCAGCCAGAAAGAAACAATTTAAATATCATGGAACCACAGCCAGGATTACACAGGACCTTGCAGCTTCTACATTAAAAGATGTAGGGTATGGAATATGATATTATGTAAAATCAAAGGAGCTTAGATTATAACCAAGGATCAACTACCCAGTGAAAATGAGCATAATCTTTCAGGTGAGGAGACAGACAAACCTTCCTGATTAAAAGACCAGAGCTCAACAGAAAATTTGATCTTCAAATACAAAACTCAAGAGAGATATAAAACGGTAAACAGGACAGAAAAAAAACCCAA